TTCTTTCTGGAGAAGGCGTTTTTGACAGAGAAAAAAAAGTCCCCCTTTCTCCGCTCGTTTCCTCCCCGCCCTGTGCTCCGCTTAGAGAGAGCCGAGCGCTGGGGGTTTATTTTTAGCCCCGAACGGACCTCCTGAGCCTGCTGACTCAGCCCCTCGCTCATTAGCTTTAACCAGATTTAACAGGCGGCCAAACAGCCGTCTGAGAAAAAGCGAGAAAGCTGTGGTCAGTCAGACGTTTAGAGGCGAGATGGTGGAGGAAAAGCGGCGAAAAAATCCACGTTTCGACCTCAGTCTTTGTTCCAGTGGGGGAAAAACAAGGTGGGTTGGTTATATTCTAATCGTTATTGTAATGATCACATGAGTGATTTGGGGGATTTTGGGTCTAACCAGACCTTGAAATTGGGAGAACATTAACTCAGAATGACAACAAATATATGAGACCTGACACCGTTTCTTTCGTTCTTCAACAAAAACCGAGGCAGAATGTAAAAGCCCATAAGAAAAAACCCAACTTCAACTGGTTTCAACTGAAAAAATGAGGATAGTAAAGAGAAGCCAGGAGGAAAGACACCAGCAGAGAGAGGGCAAAAACCCAGGATCTGCATCTGTCCTGGAAGAGGAGGAGGAGGAGGAGGAGGAGGAGGAGGAGGAGCCAGAGAGGAAAACAAAGCTGATTCATGTCAAAAAAGGAAAAAACAGAATAAAAGCCAGACGTCCAGAGATCAAAAGAACAAGAAACAACAAAAGGAGGCTGATATTAAAAAGAGATATCATCTAGAGCAGCAGTCTTCAAGGTTTTTCAGGCCAAGGACCCCAAACTGATGGAGAGATGGAGCGAGGACCCCCTAATTATAAATATAATATGAAATTGTGTTCTACCAAACTGGTCCTAAAGTGTGTAAATGTCCCTTGTTATGGGCATTCAATATTAAGATCCTCAAATAATCCACAGGTTGACATCTTCCTGCTTTTACTGTAAACATCTGGTTCTGGTTCCTGGTTGGTGGGACAGGTGTTGTGAATGAAACGGGGCCCAGCCTGAAAGAGCTCCTGTGTGTGGCTGAATGTGAGACATCTTCTGCCTCCATTTATCTGTTTACTACAGTCTGTTGAGTTCATGTTCATGTGGATTTAGAGACATTTACATTTGTGGAAAAAATTTCAAGGGGGGGAATATAAAAAAGTCTAACCAACCAAAACTTCCTCGACCCCCATGCAGTACCTCTGGGACCCCCTGTTGAAGACCTCAAATCTAGAGATTGTTCATTTCAAAGGGGACATATTATGCAAAACCAAGTTTTTAATCATTTGATTGTGTACATTTGGGACTGTGGAGGGCGTATCAGCAGGCAAAGTGTGAAAAAAAAGACTCAGTCATGTTTTTGTGGGCCACCTCAGTCTGAATCCAGGAGATAAATCAGGAGGTTTCAGGAGTGGGTAGTTTCTGACGTCATTAGCTCTAGCTCATTATAATATTCCAGCCTTTCACCTGCATGTTGCCCCCCCCCTCAGCTTACTCCCCTATCTGTGGAGACGTCGTGGTAGCGTGAGCGTTAGCATGGTAGCGTTAGCATGCTAGCGTTAGCATGGTAGCGTTAGCATGGTAGCGTTAGCGTGCCGACGTGGGCACACCTCCCGGAAGAAGTGGGTGGATTGCCTGTGTCTCGTTTGCATTTAAAGAGACAGGCACTCCAAAGCGAGCGCTCTGAACGGGGCTGTTTTGGGTTAGGGTTAGGGTTAGGGTTAGGGTTAGGCAGGGGGACTGAACTGCTATT